AAAATAATTTAAAATTTCAATATCGTCAGCTTCTGCAGCTGCATGAGTTTTATGAAAATGCTGAATATTTTCAGTAATATCTCTAATTTTTGCACCACTTTGGGACACATTGATTACTTTCCTTCCCCGGAATCCCAACTTATTTGTCCGTACGAATTTTGTCATTGACGTACCAAACAGGACAGTGGTTTTCCTGCTCTTCGGTTTTCTTGGAGCATTTCGGTAGTAAAGGGTTGGTGTTGAGGTGGTGGTGGGCGGCACAGGAATTGTAGTGAGGACATTCTGCTCCCTGATTACATTTGTATCTGTCTTCGGTATCTGGCAGCGAAAAGATAAGCTATACCGAGTCTCCTTAGCTGATCTCTCTGCACGAACCTTGTGAAGACAATATTCCTGACACCCCGGTTTCATAATATACAAACTACAGTCTTTTGGGGTGATATGGCATTTACTGTTACATCGCTTATCCCCATTTTCTGGAATTATGTCGAGGGTCCTCTCAGCTCCAAATGAGACTACATAAATACCTTGCGACTGGTCAAGAGACACCTCGTCGTCGTTGTGGTACCTAGTTGCACAAGAACCAGACTTGTACATGCTTGCTAGGCATGAGTTTAGCTTGCAGCCAAACTTGGAGTTGATATCATGCATAAGCTCTGATATCCCAGGATAATTTAAAATATCGATTGGCTCCTTAGTCGTGGTGTGTCCATTTGAGGAAGACCATACATATTCTTCTCCAGTGGAAGTGAGCCACTTTGTGGCAGTTTTCACAGCAGTTTGCTTGGCCATAAGTGTTTCAAGTTCAGACATCAACGTGCCATGTTGAACACTCTTGTTTTGAACAAAATCTGAATGCAACTCCAAGAAGTCCTCGCATTTAACAGAATCCCTCTTAAGTTTCATGACATTCTCAACACTGGCCTTGAGAGCTTTCAGCTCTTTTAATGAAAACGAGTTTAAAACATTGGTAACAGAATTCAGATCCATAGTGAAGGAAAGAGGGAGGAGAAGATGGCGGTGAGGGAGGAGAAAATGGCGAAGTCAATACTGTAGCCCAGGAAGTAGATGCGTTGCTTAGGATACAAACGGTCACGTCATAGTCTCTTCTATCGCTTTGACATTGGGACCTAAAATTATTTGTTATATAGTAGTGTTGAAAGTATTAAAACTATGTTATAACAAATAGTTCGATATAATATTATATAAGGACACGTTCATTGAAGTTTGAGGATATTGGTAAATATTAGTGACCCTACTGAATGGCACGATGATGTAAAATGTGTCACACTATGACACTATATAAACCCTTCATGGTTAGGATAATCGTTTCATCCTCTAGATAAACTTTGTCGCATAACGATATCTTTATCAGACGATAAGATATCGCTTAAATGCGGCCGGCAGTGAGTTGTAAACTTTGTCACACTATAAAAACGTGACAGAGTTTATATGGACCCCTTGTTGCCGTGTTTGACCAAATTTTCGAATTTCTAATTTATAGGATAGTTGCATATGACTATTATCTACATATTTAGCGACTTTTTACGTTAAATGGTAGCATCATGTAAACTCCGTCACACATTTAAGAAATTTATATGAGGGATGTTTATGACATCCTGACAAGAAATACCGAATAATCTAGCATTATTTTGTGAGCTGAATGTGTTTGGAATTGTTCACATATTTCATTGTTATAGGCAAATACAAATACAGAAGGCAGAAATAGGTAAATTTAGTCACATAAATTTGTATGATATCTCAACATGTGTGAAATTGAGTAAATATTAGTATACCAACTTAAACACCCTATATTACGTACTATGGATCAATTAACAATATTTCAACCATACGCCGGTCATATAAATTATTATATGGCAGTGATATGTTAACATTGGATAAATTTCAACACCTGAACAGGGTAAAAATTTGTAAATTTCGTCACAAAAAAATATGATAACTTTATTTGCTATTTGTTGGCAAAATAACTAGTTTATCGACATAAGTAATATGGTGATAAAGTAACATTATATCATAATCGAGGTATGATTCTTCAAAATAGGGGGCAAAAAATGTAAATTTCGTCACATACGTCATTTTAAAATTTAGATACATTTTCTTTCATATCAATAGTCCTTATTATAGTTGGAATGGATTTATACAAGAAATGTAGAAAGTAGAAACCCATGCCAATTTTTCATCACATTGAAATTATACTGTTTGGGCAGAAAAAGTGAATTTCGTCACATTTCAGTAACTTAGTAAAATTAAACTCAGCATTGTTAAAGTTGAGTTCTAATTTGCTGAACAATAATCAACCAATAATTCCTGGAAGAAAATTGAATTTTAACTGAGGTATGGTTCTTCAAAATAGGGGCAAGAAATGTAAATATCGTCACATACGTCATTTTAAAATTTAGATAGATTTTCTTTCATATCAATAGTCCTTATTATAGTTGGAATGGATTTATACAAGAAATGTAGAAACCCATGCCAATTT